TATATATATATATATATAAATATCTCTGTATCTTTCTCTCTCTATATGGTCTTTCTCCCTACAATCCCCTACTACCTATGAATCAAGAAACAATGCCACGTCTACTAGTATACTCCGCCTACTAGTATACTCCCTTCCCTTCCATGATGATAAGGGACTAAACCTCTGGAACGTCAGCCAGTCCCCAAATCAATACCTTACAAAAGTTGCCATGGTCATGGTGTCTCTTCACAGCAATAGAAAAGTGACCACAATTATCTCTTGACAAAGCTTTGCAGTACTAATGGAATCCATGTTACTTAATTGGAATGGTTGGTGGGGTTTGAGTTATATATTGTCTTAATCCTTTCTAGAGTATACATGTTCATATGCTTTCTTCTAGGGTTTGTTTTTATATTTGATTCTATAATTGTCTACATAGTACAAAGCCAGTCAGCAAGAGGGCTGTTACTAAATGACTCTTATGACTATGTAATGCTTAGAAAATGGTCCCACTCTTATCTTCTTGCTCTTACATCCTTCTGCCTGAAGATTTTTTTTTATATCAAATCTGCTTTAATGAGATCTATTCAATTTAGGTTCCTAACATAATTTTGTCACCTAAGGTAATCGCATAATACTAAATATGAGTACACAAAAATGTTTTATAGTATTCTGCATATATGACCTTCAGTTATACATTTTGCAATTTCAACTTATTCTATTATATTTGATCATATGGTGTTAAATTGAAACAAGCTTCCAAAATTGTAGAGTTCTCATTTCTGTGACTCCCAGCCCTTCTGTTTTCTCCAGTTACATAAGCCAGACTTTATCCTATCCTGCCTACGGAGTATTAGGTCTTATGTATTGTAGCATAGTACACTAACAGAATTATCAAAAACATTTGTTGATTTCTTTTTGAAAACCTGCTGATTTCCTGCCCCTAAAGGGGTTGCAGGTGTAGCTGCTGTGTCACATGTGTGTCAGAAGATGACAGAGAGGAGAGAGGCTACATCTAATTTCAGTGCTCTGACCTATGAACATCTGAATGATTAGAAGTCTAGCATTCCCTGAGAAAAGCTAGCCTGAGATGACCACCAGTCTGGTACCAGGCAGGGATGGATAGACTCCTAGGGTGAGGAGCTAGCTGGAGATTAGAAGAACCCTGCCTAGGACCATGGTGGGCCTCAGGTTATAGTAAGCAACAGACAGATAACCATCACATGGGACACTTTGGGGGGGTGCTATCAAGGAGTGAGCCCAAGATAACCACAAGATCAGCACCATGGGGCTATGACATGGAACTAGCCAGAGATGACTACCAGTCAGGTGCCACAGACCTGGGGGACCATGAGGAAGATCACCTCTGTCCAGCACCATAATGCATGAATAGGGCATAACACTCCTGAGTCCACTCCTGAGATGACCCTCAGAGACCCTGGTCATCACTAAGTGGAGGAAGTAAGTGGTGTAGAAATGGAAGAAAAAGAGAAGAAGAAGAATGTGGGCACAATGATGAGAGGTAGAACCAGAAACTCGAGGGTAGTGAGTAGCCCGTGATGCCTCCTGGGACCATGCTGGCTTCCCGACCTGGGTTGTCATTCTGGGCCATGTCTATGTCCATGACCCTATAGCAGGAGAAGTTTGTTACCACCAAGGGCCAGGTGGATATCCCTGATCTGGGATACCACACGAGGACATGTTGATATCTGACTGCTATGGAGAACTAGACCAGCCCATCACTGGAGAATGCTGGGAGAGCTTGTTCTGGGGGCATCAGAGAAGATCTGCCTATATTCCTAGCCAGCTGTATTTCTTGTGAGAGTAGCCTGCATATTGAAGTGATTAGGCCAGGAAGGTATGAGTGTGGGAAAGTGGGCCCTGCTGCTTGTCTCTTCCTCCTCCCTAGGCAGTTTCCAGCTTTGGAACTTGGAAAACCTGGCCCTGGGGTCATAGAGCAGGAGAACTGCAGTGCACCGGAGAGCAGGCCTTGCATTTCACCTGGGTAGCACAGTAGAGCTGGCCCTGGGGGGCTGAAGGTGAGCTACCTCTAAGGACATACATGTAGGAGAGCTGGCTCTGTTCCCTGTCTGCTGTGTGGAGTAGGGGATGAGGATGAGATGCCCTCCTCCTCTCCCCCATTCCTTGCCACCTATGGCAGGTAGGAAAGCTGGTCCCTGGTTATTAGAGTAAGAGAACTGGCTCTGACTCTCATTGGCTGCCCAGCTCTGGAGAGCAAGTCCTGTACCTTGCCTAGGCAGCAGGGTAGAGCTATCCCTGCTTGCAGGGATTCACCAGTGAGCCTGCTGGGAGGGTGTGAGAGCAAGAGAGCTAGCAGGCTGACCAGCTCAGATACCTCTCAGGCCCAGGTCCAGAGCTTTGAATTGTCCCACCCCAACATCAATTCCATCAACCGTCAATGAACTGCTAAGGCGCATGAAGGGGCTGGTCCTACAGACCCAAAACTATAGCATCTCCATGACACAGGGCAAGGATAGGATATCAGAGAGGAGTTCCAGTAAAATTCCAGTATTTATAGAATAGCAGAAGTCGGATGCCTTGTACCAGACTAACTCACTGCAATGAACATTTGCAAGCAAAAAACTGTAAACAAAATAGAATATTATGGGACATACTGTACACCCACAGCTTCCACATGGGTTTTTCCTCTCTCTTTTGGGGAGTAGGTTGCAAAGTTAAAGAGTGGCTATGCTGGAGGGAGAGATGAGTGGGATTGGGGTACATGATGACAAATTTACGGAGAACCAATAAGAAGGTTAAAAAATGATGTCAGTAGTCTGCAAATATTACTTACACCAATTTATATTTCTCTAAATACTTGTCTATAATATTTATTTTTCATATATGTTGACACATGTGTTTTTATGGATCCTTTAAAATTAGTTATGATTTAGGGGCTGGGAAGTTGGCTCATCTGTAAAGAGTACTTGTTGGTATTTCAGAGTACTATGGTTAAATTCCCAGCACCCACCTGGTGACTCATACCATTTGTAATTCCAGGTCTAAAAGATGTAATGTCATCCGCACACATATGTAGCCATCAGGAATCCATGTGGTGCACATGCATATATGTGCATGCAAAAACATACAGTTACATAAAATAATAGTAGCATTCTAAAAGTTATTAATCTCTTTTTATCTTATTTGTCCTTACTTGAAAATTATGTTCATTTTAATTTAAATATGTTTTGGCAGAAATTGTACCATGTTGTTACTCTGAGAAACTAACTTTTAAGTTTGTCAAAAACATATAATGTACATAATTCAGTATATAAATATACATATATAGTTTTAATGAACTTTTATCTTCTGGGTTGATGGTACAACTTCCAAGAGCCGAGACTACTTAATAAAAAATTTTAATATCAAACATGGAAAGCACTGTTTTGAATTGCTGGCCAGGGTTGGCAAAAAGTTAGCCAAAATATACAACATATTGCTGTTTTCCTTGGTTACCTTTAAGAGGTGTAAGGTAAGTCCCTACTGCTAAATATAGCATGCACTTCAGAAACAAGACCAAAGAACCTGTGGTGGTTTGAGTATGCCTAGGCCAAGGAGTAGACTTGCTGAAGTAGGTGTGACCTTGGAGTAGGTGTGCCACTGTGGTCTTGGGCTTTACAACACCTAGTCCAAGCAGCCTGGAAGCCAGTATTCTCCTACCTGCCTTTTAAACAAGAGGTAGAACTCTCAGCCCCCCAGTCCTATGTCTTCCTGGATGCTGCCACACTCCCAGCCTCAATTAAATGTTGTCCTTTATAAGACTTGCCTTGGTCATGATGTTTGTTCACAGCAGTAAAACCCTAACTAAGACAAGACCCTTAACTGGAACTGACCTGAACAATGCCTCCCTGAGAACTAGCTTCCATAATAGCAGAAGGCTCCATGCAAGCTTCCAAAGGAGGGAGGCAACAAACTGTGCTATCAGCTATGATGCTGAGGAAGCACACCAATGAGAAGTATGGTATGATAACCCTGTGTGTATATTAGTGGTGTGCCTGCTTCGATGGTAATCAACAGCTCTCTAATTGGACTTAAGACCCACTCAGCAAGTGGAAAATTATGCCCAATACTGGAAACTTATCTAACTATGCAGTGTTAGCGAAATCACAGTTATTGGAGGAAAATCTACAGACACTAAACTACTAAACTAGCATAATCCCTAACAACAATACATAAATAGTGTCTTTATATCCATCAACAAGTGTAGCAAGGCTCAGAGGACATGGCAGAAGTGGTGGCAGAAAGATTGCAAGAGTCAGAGTATCAGAGGCTTTGCTCTGAGATGTGTCTACCAGTAATGTAAGCAGCAATGCCTGCTAACTCTTATGAAAATGACCACCCAAACCTGAGCTGAGGGAGGATGACACCAATGAACAAGCCAAACTGCACAGGGAAAAGGCTATTAGGCCTCAACCCTATACAAAGAACTACAAGGCGACTGAGTAAAGCTGGGAGTGAGAGAGGCAATCCTATCCATGAAAAAGCTCACCAATGAGTTGTCCAGTGTTAAACAGTCAGGCCTGAAAACATAAATGCAGGGGATATATGGAATCAATTGTTATATTTGGGAATATACATGTATGCACAAACTCACACATCTGTAGGCATGAAAAAAAGCAGTCACAGATTTGAAGGAGAATGGGAAGTGTTATAGGGGTGAGTTTGGAGGGAGGAAAAAGAAGGGAGAGAAACACTGTAATGAAACAATCGTCTCAAAAATAAAAGCAAGATTTTTATAAGATTATCAATTCCTACCTATTTTTTGTTTCTAATTCCTTGCCTAATTTTTAAAATGCCCATCTTCCCCATTTTCTTTAGTGTTACTTGCTTAAAGCCTTCTCTAGATTTTCAAACCAGATGTTTAATTCATTTTTTTGATCCTTTTTAATGGTTAGTATGAACTGAATCTAACATGGTCCCTTAGACTCATGTAATCGGGGACTTATCAGCTTTGGAGACTAATTACATCCTTAGGGCTCTTCCCTAATCAGTGGCCTTTTTCCTCGGATGAGTCAATACAGATTCTTTTGGAGATCATGGACGCTATAGTGTGAGACCTAGTTGAAGAAAGTGGGTTGGTTACTTGTAGGGTCATGACAAGTGTAGCCTTGCACCCTGTGTTCCTGTGTTCTCTCTACTTCCTGGCCAGACTCAGGAGAGCAGCTCTGCTCCGCTATACCGTTCCGTGACTTTCTGCCTTTTTTTTTTTTTTTATAGGCTGAGGAACAATGGAGAAGCCGATTAGCCAGAGGCAGCATACTGAATCTCTAATCTTGGAGGCAAATAAAGGTTTCTGCCATTAAACTGTTGCTTTTTTTCTGTATTTATCACAATGATTAAGAATAACATCTGGCACACTCTTTTGTTGGTATTTAATGAGTGAAATTAGGGCAAGAAATTTTCCCTTTAAGTCATGTATTAGTGAGATAAAATATTTTCACTATGATTTGCTCTAAATATTTTAAAATTTTTCTTATGATTTCTTATGGGAGACTGAGCGGTTACAGTAGTTATTATTCCTTTAGATTTTTAAAAATTTTCTATTGTCGTTGTTTCTTCTGTAGAAAATTCTGATGTACACACCACTTAACATTAGCTTGATAAATGTTAGGTACATCTGAGAAGTAAATATTCTGTGTTTTAATTTATTCATTTCTAAGAGGGAGTAAGAAAAAGAAATGGGACTCTCTTGGTCTCTCGACCCAGCGCCTGCAGGATGTCCTCTCCCCTCCCCCCTTCTCTTCCCCCTCTTTCCATGAGGTCATGGCCAGCCTCTACTCTCTACTCGTTTCTCTTTCTTTCCCCCCTCCACTCTCTTAATAAACCTCCCCTCATGGAACCATCTTGGCCTGCTGTGACCCCCAATGCCAGCAGGAAGTAGCCAGATTTCACAAAGACCCTATGCCTGCTTCTCCATCACCTCTTTCTAAACCAACTCCACCTCCGCAGTCACCTGGCAACAGCCAGGTACGCTCTGCCCCACAGTTACCTGGCAACAGACAGGTAACCCTGCCCACTATAAAAGGGGCTGCTTGGCCCCTCCTCTC